ATGATTTCAAAGAGTAATGTTTCCGATGCAATAAACAGTGTTAAAGGAAACATGGCTCTTGTTAAAGAAAATGCTGTTTCAGGCTAAAGTCCCAGGGATCATAAAAGATATATGATGCAATAAACAAAATGAACCACAGGCAGACAGGTCCATTCCATGACTAACCACTGATTGCATTTTCCAACACGCCTGGACTTTCTGAGAGATAAACTATTCACGAAAGGCCCATGTTAACTACAAGGCTGTCTTTTCCTTTTTATGTTCCTAGTGAGGTCCGAGAACAGTAGAGGATCCCCCCCCCTCCCCCCCCCCCCCCCCCCCCCCCGCCACACACACACTCTGTTCTTTTCTCCCCCCTTATTGCTTGTTTGTGTTTTTGAATTTTTTATGATGTGGGAAGACTGGCAAACAGTTGCTATGATTGTCAAATGCCTTAAATCAAGAAGAGAAAATGCAATAAAACACAGTTTCCATGGTAACACATTGTAACCTAGTACCTCTGGATTATGAGCCAGCTCACATCTATGATCATTACTTGTTGACAGGCATAAATTGAGCCTAAAAGCATGAATTTTAGAGATAAAACTGGAATGCGGAGCCAAGTTATAAAAATGTTTAAATATATCCAAGGTAGTGGTGGCAAATCAGCACTGGTTATATCACTATTTAAATAATGTTAATAAACTCGGCATAAACACTTAAAACATTTACAAGCTTTCCTCCAAGGATGGTGTAACAGATTTGTATATACTCTTGAGGCTGCGAGTGGTAGCTGACATGTTTTTTTTGTTTGCTTGTTTGTTTGTTTTTTTGGTGGGCTTAAAAGAAATCCAATATTAGCAATTAAATGGAATGATAGGTAGATGTTTTAGTGAAAGAATGGTTCCAATACAGAAATGATTCTTAAAAATCTTAGTAGTACAGAAGCTCCTAAAATTGTCTTGGGACATAAAAAAAACAATGTTTCTGGATGTTTCTCAGTAGACATAACTTCATTGTTTTTAATTGGAAGAGACTCAAATAAAATATGAATTATCACAATAGAATGTTTTCGTACGTGCCTTTTTACACATTCACTCCATGTTCTTGTTAGAAGCACTCACACTTCTGTTAGACATCTTAAGGTTTCTTAAAAAAAGAGATTGTCGCCAAAACCGGTTTGGCTCAGTGGATAGAGCGTCGGCCTGCGGACTGAAGGGTCCCAGGTTTGATTCCGGTCAAGGGCATGTACCTTGGTTGCGGGCACATCCCCAGTGGGGAGTGTGCAGGAGGCAGCTGATCGATGTTTCTCTCTCATCGATGTTTCTAACTCTCTATCTCTCTCCTTCCCTCTCTGTAAAAGCTCAATAAAATATATTTTTTATAAAAAAAAAAAAAAAAAAAAGAGATTGTCTTGTGTATATGGCTGCCCCAGCAGTTACCCATTAACCCAAACAATCAGCAATCAAAAGGCAACTTTTTTTTACAAGGCTGTTTGTCACCCTTCTAAATACATTTTTACAACGATCAAGATAATCCGATATGATATGTTTTCATAGAGTCTGATATGAAAATAAAAGATTGCTTTATTTTCTCAACATCCAGGCTTTCTATAAAAGACTACTTTATTTCCCTGGTAACTTCTGAGCGCCACTTCCTGGCTCCCACTTTTCCAGGGAGAGGGGGAGAGGCAAGAGACAGACAAGAAGCTTTCCCTCCAGGCTTGACCTTCCCTGCCTTGGGCCTCTGGGGAGCAGAGAGAGTGACAGAGCAACCGGAAGGCCTCAGTCTGCTTCTGTGCTATGGGATTAGACCTACCTCAGGAGGTTGTTAGAAGGACTTCAGCCCTGAGATGGATGCATGTAGGGAGCTTAGGACACTGCTTGGTGCACAGGAAGCCCTCCAGGAAGCTTAGCCTCTATCGTCATCATCATCGTCATCGTCATCATCACAGTGTCCCCCAGTGCCCAGCAGCATGCTTCCCACCAAGGGGTGCCTGGTAAATGCTTGTTCAATTGAATAAGCTTACTTGTTCTACTGGGCATTAAAGGAGGGACTATTATAACTACTTTTGCCGAACTATGTAACATTTCGGTCAATTGGAGTAGATGGGCTTTTATTCCTTTGTACGGTACGGCTCAGAGATTCACATAACACTTGTGAGGAGAGCTCATGGAGTTGAGTTATGCAGGGATCCTGCCACCAGAGTTACTAAATCGTATGATGAAACCCCTGGGAATGCTGCAGGGTGTCTGAGCCAATGTCACACAGACTGGCGTTTAGCCCATTGATCTGGAAAGGGCGTGGCTTGAAGAATCCTCCATACTTTGCAGCAGTGGCTCAGAAATATGCCAGTGACTTCTATTTTCTCCGTTCTTTTTTAGCCTAGCTTTCAAAGAATATAAGCATTTGAAGAATGAAGAAAACAATTTTCCAGTCTGATTGCTATAGAGCCTGGATTATGTCGACATGGCATTTAGTTTGTCTAAAAAAAAAAAAATTAAGACATTCACCTATGCATATCCAGCTCTCATTACTATTTGGCATTCCTCATTTTTGAAAACCCCTAGTCATTTTCCTTTCCCCTTCCCCATTGCATACCCCCAAATGTATCCTTCTTTTAATCTGATCTCTATTTTTAAAATCTTAGCCAGCACCCTCGTCCTGTAGACACAGAGAAAATAAAGGCCGTCATATGATAGCCCATTCTCACTTAACAGAATCCTCACATGAGAAAGCGCTGAAGCATCATGCTAGGTACATGCAAAACCATCAGTAAATGTTGGTTCCCTGTTTCTAAGGAAGGGGTTTCCTAGCTTGGAGCAATGTGTTTTCTACTTTAGAGGAGGAGTGTCCATGCTTTCTCTCTCTAAGGTTAACTCTCAGCCTACATGCTGAGTTGTTGTTCCTTACACTCTTCTCCAGCCTCCATCAGTTCTTTCCATTCCTCTGTTTTCAGGACGTTTCTCTTTTCTGATTCTTCCCCATCATGGTCTTTCTCTTCCAAACCTAGTCTTCCTCCTGCATTCCTATCTCAATAAAAACCTCATCATTCCATTCAGAAATTTAGGAATTATCTTTGATACATTCTTTTACATCACCCCGACTTCCTGGCCATAGACACAACCCATCTTTGTCCGTCTTTCCTCCATTCATTTCTCTCTACCTCCTCTGCCATTGCCCTCGTGCAGGCTTGGGCTCAATGGGACAGCAGATTGTGGCTGAACAGTGGGCTCGTGCGGTGCTTGAAAAATAGTGGTACAATACTGCTTTTTCTTGGTGGGTTAGTCTTAAGGTCTGATATTTTGAGGAACTGAATACATTTAGAATGGGGAGGTGCAGGGTTGCAGGAGATTCCTTCATCATTGTAGTCTCAAGTTTAGGATTATTGTTATTATATTCTCACCTTGGACAAATAGCCCTCGAAAAATTCCCCAATTGGAGCTACATTTCATTTGTAACAGTTGTTTAGTGAACCTCAATGTTCCACTTTTTTTTTTTTTTTTTACAAGACTCTGACTATTTCATAGTTCCTTTTGCTCTCCTGGGGGGGACAAGGCACAGGATGTCATTATTTATCCTGGTGGATTTCAATACCAAACAAGGCTCAATCACCATGAGCTGCCACAGGGGAGTTGTCTTAGTAGCCAACTTGAGTGCTGGTGTCTCTGGATGACCTAAAGCAGAGCGGCTTCAAATTTGACATGTTGCTCACTCTAGCCTCTAGTGCTCTCCATCCCAGGGAAGTACTTGACCCAAAGGACAGCAGGCAATAGATGAAAAGGTGCTGAATCTTCCTATGTCAGGTCAGCCAATCCAGTGCTTCATGCTTCCAAGCTACCTTTAAAAACACTCCCAGGTAAGTCAAAGCAAAATAGTCTTTCCTTGTGCATTATTGTAATTACCCTTTTTATTATATAAGAATGTTTGTCTTTGGTCTCCATATTACCTATGTCAACGAAATGCTGATCATGATGCTGTTGCTTCCCCATATTTCTCCTACAAGGACACAGTTTTCCCGACTGGAGACTTTGGAAAACTAACAGTAAAGGGAAACGAGGGCCAGGTTCATTGTCTAGTTTGCAGGCCAGTGACCCCTGAACTCATGACAACGCTCAGCTCTGCTTCTCAGCTCTGGTGCCCAGTGCTGGCTTCCTGCCTTGTCCTAGGGGGCATTGAATTGCTGTTCACTGAGCACTCTGGGTGAATCTCTACATTTACCTGTTAAAAAAAGAGACAACAGGCCCAAAATGGAGTCACTTGTGCTAGGCCCCAAGTCAGCAAAGAAAGTTTTACGACTTAACTGAAACGCAGTTTCTGCCTCCCAGGAATGTGACCTCTGGTCAGTCAACCTGGAGTCACCTGGTCGGCACTTGGATAATCTGCTCCACAGACAGTGCATTCTTGTCTAATCATTTCCTTTGTTCTGCCTCCTTTTTACCTTTAAAAACCTTTCCTCTTTCCACAGCTCAGCAGAGCTCCTTTCTATTCGCTAGATGGGATACTGCCCAATTCGTGAATCACTGAATAAAGGAATCTAATCTTTAAAATTTACTCAGTTGGATTTTATTTTTTAACAACCTGAAGACAGCACAGGATAAGATGTTGCCTCTACTTTGTATGTTTGTTAATCCTCACCCGAAGATATTTTTGTCCATTGATTTTTTTTTTTTTTTGAGACGGTGGAAGAGAGGAAGAAAGGGAAGGAGGAAGGGAGAGAGTGGAAAACACCCATGTGAGAGAGAGACTTAGATTGGCTGCCTCCCACACGCACCTTAACCAGCACCAGGGATCAAACCTGCAACCCAGGCACGTGCCCTTGGCTGGGAATCGAACCAGTGACCCTTCAGTGCTCGGACTAATGTTCTAACCAGCCAAGGCTCATCTTAAATATAGCCTATATTTTTATCTGTGTTCTTCTGATAGCTCTGGTACCAGAAATACCCATTACTCTCATCATTAATTTCAACAATTCTTTGAATAACAATTTTCTAACTTTCTTTTTCACTTTTTTTTTAAAGGACATGACCTTTGTGTTGATTTCTTCCATAGCACCTGGAAAACAGCTGGTGAGTATTGAGTGATGGCTGAATTAAATTGCCCTCAATGTATTAAGGGACAAGAACAAATAGCCAGAATAGAACCGCCAGTCAGCATGATGACATCACTTTCCTTTCTTGAATGGCACTTAAAGAATCTGTAGAACTCAATTTGCAATACCCTAACCTAGCTTTGGAAAATGCCCCCTCCCCCCGCCCCCCCATCACCACGAGAAAAACAAACCAACAACCGAGATGTTTGAAATTCAGATCCACCCGGATCAGGTGAGAAGAGGAAGGGCTGCTTTGCTTTCTTGCCCTGGTGCTGCCTCCTTTCATCATTAGCAATTCTACCCCGCTCTTATCTGATCGCGCGGGGACACTTTATCTCACTAGCAAGTGAATACGCTGTGGAAAAACTCCCCAAATGCAAATGAACAGGAAGGACTTGCTGATACTGAAATTAAAGGAACTCTTCCCTCCTCCCCCTGCCTGTGGATGGAGAAATTATGGCTATTCTGAATCAATTCAAACATTGTCAAGATAAACCTTTTGTCTCATTGTTCTAACACTACACAGAGGAGATAATTTGCACGACAGTAATTAGGTTGCTATATATAGCAGTGTGCTCTCTGCCCATTTCTGATAACTAGCCTTTATATAAAACATTGAATGGGCTTTTCAAAAGTTGGAAGGTATGTGCATGATACTATTTAAAACATGACAGCTAGAAAGCAGTGCAATTTGGGTAAATTTTTGTCCACCTCTTAGCTTTGGGGAAAGATCAGAGAGGAATAATAACTCTAAAGTTATTTTTTTTTAATAAAATGTGCACTATTAGAAAGAAGCTACTATGAATTTATTGGCTTTCCCTTCTCCCCACAAGCAAATGATTATTTTCATTTTTATATATTGTGTTGAGCTGAGCTACCAAAGCTTTTTTTTTTTTTTAATCTGACATTGATTTATTTTTCTTCATCCTTTAGGTTAAAACAATGAAAAGAACTATTCTGTTGGTCCAAACAATTTATTTGTGATTTTGACTGCAGAGAGGCTCAAATAGCATTCTTTCACTTGTTTCATGGTGTTAGCTGGTTTAACCCTTTCTGACTTGTCCAAACACAGTGACTGCACTGCCAACCGGGAGTTTGGTGACCAGCTGCACTGTGTCATCTGGAAAAACCAAGGGACCTTCCTTCCTCTCCTGGTGCCCATCATTCCTGAAAGGGTCAGTCAAGATCAAAGTGCCTCCCATTTTGAGTTGCCTGTGAGAGTTACGTAGTTTCTTCAAATTTTATTTCAAGAGTGATTCCAGATTAGTATTTCGGAAAGTTATAAAGCTGGCTCTATGCCATCTTTCCTCCATCGCAGGTATCACTCTACTGAGACTCATAATCATCCTAGAACCACGGCAACGTTCTCACATCTCAGTTTTTATTTCTTTTGCACATTTCATTTTATTTGCTAAGCTAAGCCTGGATTGGCATCGTCACACGTGTCCCTCTCAGAACTAAAAATATATTATCTCTTTTAGCCCAGCACACTTACAATATTGTTTTTTAAAAATAATTACAATAGAAAGGACTTCAATTTAAACTCTCAACTGATCGTTTTCATTATAAGTGTAGAAGAGAGGACAAAATCCTAACGTGTAAATTGTAGAAACAGCGTGTTTGAGAGCATTTCATATATTATAATGGAATTAAAATACCAACTCCATAAGTTCGTAAAACATCTGACCATATTAGATTTCCAGTGCAGGTGGGAAATCCACAAAGCAGCAGAGCTTTCGAAATAATGTTTCTTTTTATTCATATTCTTTATAAAGGCACGAGTTTGATATGGTGTTTTTAACAAGGAGGCATCTTTGGCACTCCTCTGTCCCAGCTGATTCCTCTCTTAGTCCGTATTTCCATTCTTCCTTATCTGATTCTTATCTCTTTTATATTTCTTTAATTCCCACTTTTTTCCTTTCCTACTTTTATTTATTTAATTCCCACTTTTTTCCTTTTGACTTTCAAGTGCCTTCAATGTGCACACCGGTCCAGTGTGGGGCATGCAGGAGGCAGCCGATCAATGATTCTCTCTCATCATTGATGTTTCTATCTCTCTCTCCCTCTTCCTGCCTCTCTGAAATCAATAAAAGTAAGTTAAAAAAAAAAAAAGAAAGAAAGAAAAACAACTGACGAGGCCCTCTGATTGTTCAGAGCATTTACTAGAAACCTCCGTGCAGGCTGGAGGTGGTAATTCTGTTTTAAAAGTTTCCCAGGTGATACCTGTTCCCATCAAGACCCCACTGAGATCCTTCCCCAGATATCCGGCTCAGAATGAGAAATCGCAAGGCAATGCCATCCTCCATCTGAAGCTATTTCACTGTAGAAAAACACTGTGCTTCAGTGGGAAACTAGGCTTGGTCTGCATACAGCACACCCTTCCTGTTGTTAGTGTCTAGCCTTTCATTGTCCTTGAGCTATTTTACAACTTGGTGTGTTGTAGGAAACTGATAGGCATGCAAATGCTTCACTGTCTGGTAGGGGCTCCACTGACTTCCCTCTGGAGAAAAAAAAGTTTTGTTCTATTTGCATACCCATTTCAGTATTCCTGAGCAGAATGGGAGCACACAAATTACATCCCAGTCAGCCCCCAACCTGTTTCACACGGAGGAGCCCCGGTCCCCAGGGCTGCATAATCAGAGGGTGCTACAGGCCTCCCGGATCTGGCCTGATGGTCTTCGGAGTACATGGCTATACATTCTTCGTGGAGAACCTAAGATCCTGTGCAAGGACACTGGGCCACAGGCGCTACCTTAATATGAAGCGCCACTGCCACTTCAGGAAAAGCGTTCTGTGGTAGTGTGCAGCCTGCCTGCTTCTGTACTTTGGGAAAATTTCAGGTTGTAATGATGTAAAACATTGGTAAGTTTTATTTCTTCCCTCAATTCAATGCCAAAGAGAGCCCTTGGTGCCAAACAGGGTCAATGGAACCAAAAACAAATTTCCAAAGTCAAAATATCGAGTCCTGAGATCTACAACCTCTCCATGTTAATCTGACTACTGCTCCAACATGCAACAGCCAAAACCACATTGCCAGGACAATCCCCTGTGTTCCTTTATCTCTCCATCTTGTTTCTTATTCCTACTGATCCTCGAGCCACCTTTCACTCCCTCCTGACAGTCACTATTATTGTGAGCTACACCTTACCCTGTCAGTTTCTCTCGATCTTTCCAACAGCCCACATCCCTGTTCATGGAGCAACACTGACAGCCTGGCTTTTCTATTTCTGACCCTGTCACAAGGAAGCAGGGGTGGACTTGTGGGACAGCATTTATAATATCTACAGTATCACACAGTAATGTCCCGGGCCTTCATTCACTCACCACTCACTCCCTGACTCACTCAAAGCAACTCCGAGTCTTGCAAGTTTCATTCATGGTAAGCGCCCTTAAACAGGTGTACCACTTTTTACCTTTTGTACTGTATTTTTACTGTACATTTCTATGTTTACATGTGTTTAGATCAGGGGTGGGCAAACTTTTTGACTCGAGGGCCACAATGGGTTCTTAAACTGGACCAGAGGGCAGGAACAAAAGCATGGATGGAGTGTCTGTGTGAACTAATATAAATTCAAAGTAAACATCATTACATAAAAGGGTACGGTCTTTTTTTTTTTTTAGTTTTATTCATTTCAAACGGGCAGGATCTGGCCCGCGGGCCGTAGTTTGCCCACGGCTGGTTTAGATACACAAATACTTACCATTATGTTACAGTTGACTACAGCATTCAGTACCACAGCATGCTTGTAGCCTGGGAGCAAAAAGCTATATCACATGGGCTAGGTGTATAGGAGGCTACGCCATCTAGGCTTGTGTAAGCGCACTCCCCAACATAATCACCTAACAATGCATTTATCAGAACACGTCCCGTTATTAAGGGATACATGACTGTACCTACGAGGTTGGGCACTATCCCTGGTTTCAAGCATTCACTGGTCTTGGAATGTATCTTCCATAAATAATTGAGGATGATTGTAGTGACAGAATTGAATTTGAACCCAAGTCCAGCTAATTCCTTTAGTACTAGAGTAAATCTATTCTTCCTAAAGTGGTGATGACAATATGAACCTGAAAATTACTGTAAAATTTAAGTGAAAATTGGAATCCAAAGGACCAAACACCATGCCTCGCTTGTAGCAGGCCCTCAATGAATGACATGGAATGACAAAGCAAATGTCACCATTTCTGTGTCTGTGTGGTCAACCAGTCTCATTGATTCACAGGCACACTCCTCATGTCATTTATTTTCCCACAACGCTTAGACACATAATAAATGCTTAGTAAAATTTGGTTGAATAAACTTGGCGTAGAACTAACAGAGATGCAAAGCAACCACACCTGATTTTAAAGAAAGCCTCCCTTTAACTGTAGAGCTTAAAAGAAAATGGTCGATTTCATTGTGAGCTGTACCCTAACCCTTCCGTTAACCATAAATTCTAAAAATGATCCAACCAGGTTTGCAGTGAATAATTCATAATATAGAACAATTGTTGTAACGAAATATCCCGACCTACTTTTTGCTAGAAAATCACTTTAGGTTCCTATTTACATAAGAGTATTATCTTAAACCCTTGTGAGCGAGCGCCAGCCCATTTTAGGAAATGAGGAGCTGCACTTACTTGGGCGGCTGCTTTCTTCCTCGGCAAACCCTCCCAGGTGGATCTTCAGTTCAGGCAGATGACAAGGGGTGGTATTAGCAAAGGCGCTCTATTGCGTAGATGCCTGAGAGCTCTTTAGGCTGTGTGCTAACAATATTTTTATATACTCTGCTTCCCCCCTTAGCTGTTTCCTTTGCTGCCTGAGCTGTTTGGCCACGTCTGAACTGCTGCTGATGAAGCCTTTTCTGGCAGGTTGCCCGGGAGCAGCTCTCCTATAGATTCCGCCCCTCTCCAGGAGTTGCCTGCCTTCAGGATAATGGGCAACATTGAAAGCTGCAAGGCGTTTGGTTGACAAGGTCAGAGTGCCTTTCAGTCCTGCAATAATCAACCAGTGTAGCTCTTCCTCAAACCTGGGGAGAGAGAAGATAGAGGTCAAAAGAGCAATTACATTTCACATTGACTCCAGAAAAGGCTTGGATGACGAGACTGAAAAGAAAAATGGATTCGAGCCTCATTCTTATCCGTTCTCTTTCTGGTCATCTATGTTATTAACACTGGCCTGAAACCATAACAAGCTTTAGCCCGATGACGTGAAAAGTGCATTTTTCCGCCTGCAGATGAGATCCTTCTGCCTTAGACATTTAGCTCCGTCAGCATATTGCAAAAGAATGCAAATGAGCTGCAGGATCTATAACCAGAGACAGTAAGCAAAGGCCATTAATTATGTTTTTAAAAAATGTTAACCCTAGCAGACTGTATAACAAGCAATTGTGCTAATTTCAATCTGTAATCAGTCCCTACATTAGCATAACTTTATTTATTTAGCATTAAGGCAACAATTTAGAGAATATAATTTAGTTGGAAATGTCAGTAATTTTGCAGTGGCAGAGTGCTGTTACAAAGCTACCTCTATTTGACCTTACAGCTGCCAGGACTAATTACTTTAATTGCATTAATTGCACTGACCATTCTGGTGGTTAATCTAGTTGCTGTTACTCTTCAACCATTGAACAAATCAGCCTGGCTGAATTCTCAGGAAAATGAGCCAATGTTTTCTCCTCAATCTCCTTTAGTTCTTTGCTGCATTGTGAGAGCCTAGATAATTCAGGTTATCAGTGCTGTCACCAAGATCAAGAATTTTGAGGAAAACCCTTGAAAGGAAAAAGGAATCTGTATTTCCTAACTGGTCCTTATTGTTCATGGCTGATTCAGTTAAAGAATAATCAGTTTACCAATGACCAAAAAGTGTTTAAAAACTGGCTGTGGCCGTCTAACAGTAAATTAAAAGTCCCTCGTGCCACCTTTTGCAATGAAGACCCAGTAAAATTTTTATGTTCTTTGTTTCCACCTTATAGACTGAATACAAAGTTTTCCCTGTGATTTGATTCAACACAAATTGAAATGCTCATCTATGTACTAGCTTGAGAACGATGGTCTTATAAATAGAAAAAAAATAGATATTTTCTTCTGGCAAGGAAAACTCCACAGGACAATAAATAAATAATTTGCCACCAGGAACACATCTATTAGTTGAAAAGAAGTCCTCTTGGAATATTGCATTCTTCTACACAAAATTGTGAAATTTGAAAGTCTAGATGCCATCCGTCCAATTCATCTGCCCACTCAGGCAGGTGTCAGCTCCTCCTTGTTTCTTCCAGCTCCTCATCATGTGTGGAGCCCTCACTCCAGACCTTCTGATAGGTAATAAACCCTTGGGAACTAGACCTGATCCCTTCGTCCATGGTCACTCTATCCAGCTCCTTCCCTGAACATAATCTGTGATTCTGACACACTTGGATTCCACTATGTCTTAAGCATCCTCAACTTTCTGTCTCCAGGGCCAGGCTCTCCACTCACATTCTCCACTCCCCCATCCTGTCTGCTTTGTGCTCCACCAAAGATCTGAGAGACCCGTTCTTCCTCTATGCTCACCTCAAACTGCACATCTGAATCTTCTAGATGTAGGGCCTTGGCAATGGGTTGTTCAGTTAATTCTCTCCTCTCAGCCTTTCTCCACTTTACCTCCTTTCTCTGTCTCCTCTGTACTGTCCCACCTCAGGCCTTCACTATCCCTGTGTGGACCATCGCGGGGTGACCCAGCTCTGGCCAGTCCCTGCTGGGACCCCCTCACACTGTTGCATTCCCAAACTCTTTTTGATCTTCTGGTTCCTCTTAGGTTGAACTAGACCAAGTTCCCCCTCCCAAGCATCCAGTTTTTTGTTTTGTTTTGTTTTGTGTTGGGGGGTTGCTATATTTTTTATTCAAATCCCCAACTTCCCACATGATTCTCCCCTTTCCCATGCTGTCAACTTCTAACCACAACAGTGACGCTGTGCTTGTCAGTCCTGTGTGTGCATGGAGTGTGGTGGAGAGGACCTTTCCCACCACCACCTTTTCCACCTGGTCGTGGCCACTCATGGGAGCAGGACCAGTAGGGACCTTCAATTATAAAAATGAAAAACACAACAATAAGAAGACTCACTTAACAAAAAAAGTAATGGAACCATTGAGGTACCTCCTCCTGTGAACACCACGTAATTGGAATATATATCTCTAGTGGAAGGAATCAAGAGTTTTGTGAATTTCTTTGTGCTTTGTGTGGGATTGACTGCTTAATAGTAGCACTATTGAAAATGGACACTGTGTTTTTAGTCCTCAGGCCCATCTGCCAGCCATCTTTACATTTTCATCTGAAGGTCATTCTTCTGGTGGAGAAGACAGAACAATCGAGGAGCTGAGTAATTCCAGTTTCTCTTTGTCTTGTGAACGTTACATCATAATCTCTTAGAAACACGTCTAATAGTTCCTTGTTCTTCTTGCTCCTTAGGCATTGGGAAAAAGTCATTTTTTGGTCATCCTCCCACTCCCCGCCCCTCCCCCCCCCCCCCCCAGCAAAATCAAGCATGTTTTTTACTTTATTTTTTATGAGACTATTCTTCTAGGTGATATTGCATTGCTTTTGTTCTTGACTACAAATTCTTTGATCTTTCCAACATGCTTTCTTTTTAAACCCTGAGCTCAGAAAGTTCTCTGAGCAACCACATTGATTTCTTTAGTTTTTCTTTCATACTTGACTGATTTTTATTGTACAGTCAGAATTTCCTTTTTTTTTTTTTTACTCCTTCTGGACTTTTCTACACCCTTAAGAAACCTGGCCATGAGACCAAAAATATATTTTCTTTGAACTTTTGAAGTTTACTTTTCCATAGTTTGGGATGCATGTCTGACACTGATTAACATTCCTATCTTTTGTGCATTTGGATTCTAAGAAGCTCTCATTTTTTCCCCGAAGGTTCTCGGTACTTCTTTGTTCTAAAACTGCCCTTTCAAGTTTAGAGTAACTGCATCCTCCAAGTCCAAGCTGACAATCTACATACATCTCTTTACCTGCTGGGTGGAAGACCCCTGTACCCAGAGGTAAGAGGGGCCCCCAACTCCACCTGCCTAATGATGACAGGAGGTCCTACCCAGCTTTGGCTCTGGTGCACAGGAGCTGGCAAAGCATGCCAGGGGAGTGGGAGTGGTGGCCCCTCTGGAGAGGTGACTTGCCCTTTCACTGGAGAGAGGCCACTGGGTGGATCTCTTATCCAAAGTCATTGAATACTGTTGCCCTTTCCCAGAGGTGTTCCTCTGAATGTACAGAGCAGATGGTAGAGCAGAGACGGTACAGAAACTAACATGGGAAAAATAGTAAATGAAGAAGCGCAGAATGGGGAGGTGGGGGAATAATATTTATTGAGACGCTACTGTGTGCCAGGCACTGTGCTAGGCATTTACACACAGGTATCATATGCCCCCCAATACCATTTTAATGCATGTGGAAACTGAGCATTGTATAGGGTTAGTGGCTTCTCTAAGTCACAGAGCCAGGGAACACAGAAGCCAGGAATTACACCTAGATCTGAGAATGAGAGGATAACAAAACGAAACCAGAAAATTACAATTCATTACAATACAGGCATCTCTGTCATAAACATTGCAAAAGTAATGCCATTATAAAGAAGACATACATACAAATCAATGCCTATTACAACAAACTTCAAGAGAACAGATGTTTCTGCACATGACTAATATTTTGGTGTATAGTACTAGAAGTTTATCATATCTACTTTCTTGAAAAATGTAACCTTCATTTCAGTATTTTTTTGCTAGGCAGAGGTGTTTTGTTTTTTGGGATTTTTGCATGGTTGGGGAGTTTATTTTTTTGTTTTGTTTTGGTTTTGCTTGTTTTTAGTTTTAAAATGTATTGGTGAAATCTCTTGGCCAAATGAAGAGAAAGTTAAAATATCACCATGGTGATAGTCACGTACTTGTGATGTGATCTTTAGTACATTACTGCCAGCCAAACATATAAATGTTCTTTGAAAAGTCTGCTTCTAGAATCTAGATGTTAATGGCAGTATTGATTTTCACCTGTCTTTTCTTTCTTTCTTTCTGTGTGTGTGTGTGTGTGTGTGTGTTTTGACAACATATATTTACCTCCTCATCTCCACGCTGAGCTCGGTTTCCGGTGTCAGTGTCAGAGGCCAGTGGCAAAACCAAGGTGACTGAGTGGGTGTCAGACCAGCTGCAGAAACATAGAGGAGACTTAACTGATGGCATAGGTCCTCTAAGTCAATGAACTCTGCCTCTCATAATTTCATTATCAATTCACCACAGGAACCTGACAGAGTCAGTATGTTAAGTCAAATTCGAAAGCTCAGAAACGAAAAGAAAAAATCCAATTTCAGCGGCAGGTGAAAACATCATAATTCAGAGAAAATCGTTATTATTGATTTATAGCTGCAGACTCTTGTCCAAAGGTTTCCTCTTTAAATTAAGAATATTAATGATTTTCCATCCTGAAATTAATACTCCAAAAGCTGCACATATTCATAAAAGGCACTAATTGTTGTACTTCAACCAGGAAGTGTCAATGAGCAGATGCCTCCTTGTTCCCATCATCATGTGGCTGATGGCACGCCGTGGAGTCCGAAGGAATCATGTGCTTCCTTGAGTTATTCTTGTGTGTGCCAAGAGGCCATAACATTTGAAAGGGAACATCCTGTTTGCTGAGGCTTCTAAACATGCAATCCAATTGCTCTCTGATAAACAGATTTGTTTGGGACAAAAGTTCCTGCCTGAATAGTTAGGAGACTTAATTGTGCTGGAGGAAGAGGCGACATAGACCCCGTATGGAGACCAGGCAGGCACTGGGCCTGCGCAGAACTCTGAGTCAGTTCCAGAGGAAACACCAGCCTGCCAGGACGGCCAAGTGACTTCAAACAGAACTGACACCAGGAAACAGGAAACAGCTATTTGTGAGGAACAGGAAATAGATAGTAAGAGGAAACTAACATAGATAGAGTCATTTTGCTGCTGAGTATTTTCATTTACCCTTTGTATTGTATGTATTTTTGTAAGCCATGTTAATAATGTGGGGGTGTGAATGAATCAATGAAGTCTCTTCAGAATATTTTAAGTTACTTCGTTAGAAAAAATAGAGATTCAGACATCTTCCTAATGTACCCTAAAAAAAAAAAAAAAAAAGATAAAGAACAGCTTATATTCCTAATTAATTATCCACCTGTTTTTAGTAAGGTTGTATCAAAATATTGGAATCCTTTGTAACTATCACAGAATTTGTCTTCGAGCAAGACTATCATTTTGATTGGTACTCACATTAATGAGATTTAAATTTTAAAATGCACGTCCCCCCAGCCTTCTGTGCGTATATCTATTATGGCACCCCCTCCTCTTTGGGTGTTATAATTAGTCATTCATGTTTCATTCCCACCAGACGTAGCTCCTGGTGGGATCACAATGCCCCCAGTGCCTACAAGGGTTCCTAGAGCAGAGATGACACACAGTAGTCACCATCTGGGGATCAATAGTAAATAATCTGATGTAACTAATTTGCAGGATGGTTACAAGGATTAAATGAGATAACATAAAAACCCAACAGTGTCTGAATCACAATAGGAGCTCAACTAGTTAGTTCTCTGCCCCCTTCTTTGAACAACAATAAAAATTCCTTAATTTTTAAGGTAGTGTAGAATACTAAATATCAAATTTCACTTAGTAAAAAAATATGTATTCTGTAGAAGTTGGTTTGCTCTTAAGAATATCATAGTTTGGTGTACTTAGAAATTGAAGGCCCAGCTAGTTGATGGGAACAGAAAAAATTGGGAGCGGGTGGGGGTGGGGGGAGGGGAGGGATTGGCTTTTTCCTATCAATGATTCATGGGGAAACTGGCTTTAGGAAAATGTTAGTCTCCCTTCTTCTACCTTCTTTTATCAGTTTCTGGAATTAGTCTGACCTTTTGTCCATTTTGGATGAACCACTGGGCCTAGTCCCAGGCTAAGGCTAGGCCATGTAAAGGGAGCTAGCTGTAGGAAATGTGGTGCAGGATCAATGTTTCCTCAGCCCGAGTCCCTCATTACATCACACAGATTTCATACGTGTGACATCTCCTGAGCTCTTCGACCCCAGAACTACTTGGCATTCACGTCTTGCAAACAGACAGCTCTTTCCTCTCCAGTTAGGCTGCTGAGGAAGCTCTACACAGGTGTTCTAAGGGAGGGAGCCTGGTGGAAGAAAGTGCAGTATAGACCTACAGAAGAAGGGGCACTTCTTACCTAAAAGGGTTCTAGCCAGTTCTTTAGGTCAAGCTAAGACTTTGGCCTTATAGGAGGAATGATTCCCCACATATGCTATATCTAGAGATTTACATGCAGGTTCAAAAACATCCTGTGTGGAACACAAGGAGGGAGTAATTGCTGTGTCCACAAGCAGTCTGGTCTATTCTTGTGAAAGTTAGGCTATGGTGAATTTTCTTTGTGGTTGATTTCCATCAGGACATAACTAGCTATGAGAGAGTAAACAAAGGATGTCCCTTTCGGAAAACAACATCTACCATTTTAATGGTTTCTAAACACATCTCTCCAGCCACCTTCTGATCCATTTAAATTGCCAGCAAGAAGGGCTTTTAACACATCCTGTTAGTGATTCCTGCTTCTCAGGGTTGTACTTCAAAGAGGAGCAGCGAGCAGTGTCTGCAATGGCTTAGAAGAGGCTTTGGTAAGAACACCCACAATGAGACTTTGGAAGGAACAGCATGGTCCTACCCTGGTCTCTGCCATGGAGACGCGCCTCCGTGGACTGAGAGAGCAGCACGGGCTGATTCTGCTCACAAACCATCCCTCCCTCCGCTCACCCTCTCAAAGGCAGCTGAGCAGCTTTCCGTGGGATTCAACTTTTCCGTCTGTCAACAAAACTCGCAGGTCCCCCACATTTCTTCATTTCATGAAATGGGGTGTATTTGAGACTGTGCGGTTTATGCAGAAACCCGAGAAGAAATGGGCCCAGGATCTGAGTCAGGCATTAGCCCTGACGCCCTCGTTGGCTGTGGGATTTTCATTAATGAGGCAGTATGCTCCCTCTATGACTCTGAACACTTTTGGCCTCTAGAATATTAATCCAAAGCTTGCTCTTTGAGCATATACAGGAATAGTTCTCAGCCCTGGCTGCGCCTCAGAAACACTGGGGGTTTAAGAAAAAAATAAGAAAAGGGAAAGGAAGAGAATAATATACACCTTAAAAATTCAAGCCATGCGAAAAGCACACCGTGAAATAATGCACTCTCCCACCCCCACCTTCAGTTTTTCCAGTCTCCAATGCCCTCATCCAGGATTAAAAATACAGAGATGACCAATTCTCATCTCTTACCTATTGAATCAGGGTCTCTGACAGGTGTACTTTTATTATTTTTCAAAAATATGTTTTTATTTATTTTAGAGAGAGGGGAAGAAAGAGGGAGAGAGAGAGAAAGAGAGAGAGAGGGGGGAAAACAATGATGTGAGAGAGAAACATTGATTGGTTGCCTCCTGCATACACTCCAATTGGGGATTGAACCCCCAACCTGAGCATGTACCCTGACCTGGAATCGAACCTGTGACCTTTTGGTGCATGGGAAACACTCAATGGAGCCATGGCAGGTGTATTTTAAATAAGCTCCCAGGTGATCCAACAGTTCGGTCAGGTTAAGAATTACTGATTTTGATGAGGCGACAACGGTGGTGGGTGCACACCATGACAACCGGGCTTGGGAACTCACTGAGCAGAACTTCAGAACTGGAAATCCCTCATTGCATGCCTTTGTTAGGGAGAGAAGGTTTCATACGACCTGTTTAAGACGCAGCACAGTAAACACAACAAAGCAAACTTACTTCCTGGGACTTAAAAAAAAATGTCTAAATCTGGTTTTGCCAGTGATTCCATCCACATAGGAAAAAAAATTGGCCCTCAGAAATTTATAAATTTTACCTCTCTAATCTTCCAGCGTTAAAAGGTTGGTGGCTTCACCTGGGCCCATTCAGACTTTCTTCTTCCTGATAAATTCCAGTTTTGCTCAGGTATCTAAGCCCTGTGACACAGT